TCAACCCAGATCTGCTCAATAAGGCCATTTAAAGCTTCACACATCTTCTTAGCCCTAGCTCGCGTGACTGGACCTCCTTGGCTGTGTAATGGATCACATGACGTAGTAGATATGTTGTTGTCTTGATTCCCATCACATAACTATTATGAGAAGAAAAAGGTGAAACTAGCAGCAGTGGAATTTACTGATTACGCTGTGGTGTGGTGGGATCAGCTTGCGCTTAGTCAACGTAGAAATCAAGAGCGTCCTGTTGACACTTGGGAAGAGATGAAAGCTGTGATGAGAAAATGATTTGTTCCTAGTCACTACTACTGTGATCTCTATCAACGATTGCAGGGCCTTACTCAAGGGTCCAAAAGCATTGAGGATTATCACAAAGAGATGGAAATCGCAATGGTTAGGGTGAATGTGGAAGAGGACAGAGAAGCAACTATGGCACGGTTTCTGCATGGCTTAAAATTGTGATGTAGCTAATGTGGTAGAGTTGCAACATTATGTGGAATTAGAAGATATGGTGCATATGGCGATGAAAGTAGAACAGCAACTCAAGCGTAAAGGAGCCACCACCAGAACTGGGCAAAATTCAGGTTCCTCATCTTCTTGGAAACTGAATTGGAGCAAAAAGGAAGAAAATTATGTTTTTAAGCCTAAAACTGCAGCATCTAAGTCAAAAGAAGTTGGCAGCAATGAGAAGAGTAAAACAGATAATACGCAAGATAGAAACCGAGACATCAAGTGTTTTCGATGCTTGGGAAGGGGGCATGTTGCATCGTAATGTCCAAATAGGCACACGATGATCTTGAGAGAAGATGGAGAAATTGAAATAGAGGGTGAATCTGATGATGACTCTATGCCACCATTGGAAGATGCTGATGATGGCATGGAATATGCTGTTGATGGAGAATTGCTTGTCACCAGGCGTGCTTTGAATGTGCAAGCCAAAGAAGATGATGAAGTACAACGTGACAATATATTTCACACGAGGTGCCATGTCGAAAACAAGGTAGTGTGATTATTGATGGTGGTAGTTGTACTAATGTAGCTAGCATTGTTTTAGTTGAAAAGCTTAATTTACCTACCACGAAGCATCCAAGGCCATATAAGCTGCAATGGTTAAAGGATTGTGGAGAAATCAAGGTAAATAAGCAAGTTCTGGTTTCATTCTCTATTGGACGATATAAGGATGAGGTACTTTGTGACGTGGTTCCTATGCAAGCTAGGCATTTACTTTTAGGGAGACCATGGCAATATGATAGGAGGGTAACACATGATGGCTTCAAAAATCACTATTCATTTATCATGGAGGGGAAAACAATTACTCTTGCACCTTTGAGTCCAAGGCAGGTTTATGAGGGGATCAACTGAGAGTAAAAAAAGAGAGTGAGCTAAGAAATGAGAGTGAGGTTGAGGGTATGAAAAACAAACAGAAAACAGCAGAAAAAAGAGTCCAAAAAGATAGAAAAGATTGAGAGTGTTGAAAACAAAGTGAAAAAATTAGTGAGTGTTTATGCAAAAGAAGGTGATGTCAAGGCTGCATTCTTTGCAAAGCAGCCTATGTTTGTGCTTCTGTATAAAGATGCTCATTTCAACACTAACGAACTTAATGATTCTTTGCCTAGTGTTGTTAAATCTCTTGTGCAAGACTTCAAGGATGTGTTTCCAGAGGACATCCCTAATGGTTTACCATGAATAAGAGGAATTGAGCATCAGATTAACTTCATTCTAGGTGCAACAATTCCAAACTAACCAGCATATCGAAGCAACCCTAATGAGGCAAAAAAACTTGAAAAGCAGGTTGAAGAACTCATGAAGAAGGGGCATTTGAGAGAAAGCATGAATCCATGTGCAGTTCTAGTGCTACTTGTGCCTAAGAAGGATGGGACTTGGCGTATGTGCGTTGATTGTCACGTTGTCAAGAAAATCATTGTAAAGTATTGTCACCCTGCTCCTAGATTAGATGACATGTTAGATGAACTGCATGGTTCTTGCATATTCACTAAAATTGATTTAAAGAGTGGGTATCATCAGATTAGGATGAAGGAAGGTGATGAATGGGAAACAGCTTTTAAAACGAAACATGGTTTATATGACTGGTTACTTATGCCATTTGGATTAACTAATGCACCTAGTACATTCATGCGATTAATGAATCATGTTTTGTGTGCTTTCATTGGCAAATTTGTGGTTGTTTATTTTGATGACATTCTGATATATAGTAAGAGTTTAACTGATCATATTGAGCATTTGCAAATGGTACTTGAGGTTCTGAGAAAAGAAAAGTTGTTTGCTAACCTTAAAAAGTATTCCTTTAGCACAAATCATATTGTCTTTTTAGGGTATTCTGTTTCAGCTGATGGACAAACAAAAGTGGTTAGTAGGACGTTGTCGACCTTATTGCGATCTATTATCCAGAATAACTTGAAGAATTGGGAAGAGTGTTTGCCGCACGTTGAATTTGCTTATAACCGAAGCATCCATTCAGCAACTAATTGTTCGCCATTTGAGGTTGCATATGGCTTTAATCCACTCACTCCTTTGGATTTATTGCCATTACCTATTGATAAACAAGCTAGTTTGGATGAGAAAAAGAAAGCTGAAATGGTTAAGCAACTACATGAGAGGGTGCAACAAAACATAGAGCGACGAACTCAGCAATATGCAAATCAAGCCAACAAAGGGCACAAGAAAGTTGTGTTTGAACCTAGAGATTGGGTTTGGGTGCATATGCGAAAAGAGCGATTCCCTGCACAAAGGCGTTCTAAGTTGCAGCCAAGAGGCGATGGACCATTTCAAGTGATTGCAAGGATAAATGACAATGCATACAAGTTGGAGCTTCCTGGTGAGTATAATGTTTGTCACGCCCCAGAACCCAAATCCGGAGACGCGACAGACGCCGTGCACTCGTGATCGGGTCCCACGAATGCACAAGGCTCGGAACTTATCCAAATCACATCTAACAATCCAAACTCAGATCAGATATTTCAAAATTAATTCCCTATGTCCAAACACAACTTAACCTCAAAATCTCCAGATCAAATCTCTTATAAACTAACTATCCACTAAATGAATTTACAATCTCCAATTAAAATCTCGCTTACAAGATCATCATTTATATCTAAAATCCATATTCAATTTACACGATGGCTAGCCTTCTAACTTGTCACTCCCCTCGGTTTCCCCCGTCCTCAGTATCACTTCCTGAAATGGTGGACAAGGAAAACTATGAGATAACTCAGTAAGTAATTATGGATAGCCCTTGGGTAAAACTTTTAACATGCCAGATAAACCATGTAAGTATAACAGAACTTTCACTGATAAACCGTTAATGCGGAAATCAAATTCGGTTCAATAGCAAAACGTTTCCTGACAAACCGTTAATGCAGAAGAAAACTCAGTTCAGTAGTCTCATCTATAAGTCATGGCCAGTGTTATAACAACCCACTGGCAGGCGACAAAAATTTGCCAATGTATTCGCCCAGTGGCAGGCATCAGAATTTGCCAATGTATTCGCCCAATGGCAGGCGTCAGAATGTGCCAATGTATTCGCCCAATGGCAGGCGTCATATCAGTAAACATGTCGACATGTGCTAGCGTTACACCCACTAGCGGGGATCAGAAGTGCTAGTGTTACACCCACTAGCGGGGATCAGAAGTGCTACACACCCACTAGCGGGGATCGGAAGTGCTAGCGTTACACCCACTAGCGGGGATCGGAAGTGCTACACACCCACTAGCGGGGATCGGAAATCATGACCATATCATAGACAAAACCATGCAGGATTTACAGAAAAACCCGAATTTCACAATCAATCCCGAATTTCAGAACAAACCAGAAAATTTCCATGTGACCATGGATTTAACAGAAAGCTTAGAATTTGCAAACTCTCAGTTCATCAAAACAGGTCAGTCAATTTCTAAATAGGCATGCTCAACTCCCGAAAAACAATGAAACTCTCATTTTCATTTCAATCATGCTCAATTCCAGAAAATCAATAAAATCCTCATTTTCATTCCAATCATGCTCAATTTTAGAAAAACAACGAAATTTTCATTTTCATTCCAATCATGCTCAATTCCAGAAAAACAATGATTTTTATAAAAGTCATCACAATTTCCATTTCAATTTAATCACACTCAGATGCTGATAAAATCAATTTAAAGCTTGCCACCATCTCAAAAACAGTTTAAAACATGCTTTAAAATCAAAGGGCTTTACCATAATTTACTTACCTCACTCGCACAAAACAGAAGGCTAACCCAAGTGCTACGGTGACCGAACGATCAAAACCTAATCACAATATTCCACAATTAATAACCATACCACAAATTCAAGTAAAATCATCATTAGCACTACCCCTAATCATAGTGCTATTTCTATCAATCTCCACATAACCGGATATCTCCAAATTCATTCTTATATCACAAACTAAACCTTTAAATCCCAGTTAATCATTAACCCTCGGTGTGTAAACAGTACTTATGAACAGTACCTCGTGAACAGTAACTTCAACTCCCAAATTAGCAAAACATAGCTAATTCACGGGGGGTTTCACACAATTAACCTCACAACAACCAAATTAAGCTAGTTTCCACATGAATTAAACAAAACTCATGCTTAGAGGCTGCCGAACTTCCTCCCCTCTTTCAACAGAATTTCGGACAGCAATGGGCAATTCAAAAGCAAAAACCCAATCAACACAAGGCAACAATTACATGGATAAATTGGACTTGGGAGCCGGCAACTTACCAGAATTCCAGCCAGCAGAACCCGAGCTTGGCTGGTGAGGAAGTCGACGGGACCCATGGGGGAAAACTCACGGCTACTCCAGAAATTCAAGAACCAATAACAAAATTAGAGTAACCCAAGCCAAATGAAGAGAGAGAAAGGATGAATTCAAGGCTGCTTCTTACCAGAAAAAGCCGAAGGATTCAAACCCAGCAGAACCCGACGGACAAGGGAGGAAGAAGCAGAGCAGATCTGGGATTTCTGGGTTGAGAGGGAAGATTCTAAGCCCCAAATCTCGTTACTTATCAAGAAAAGAAGGAGAAATCCCAAGTTTGGTCACCAATTTTCTCAAAGAAATGAGTTGGTGGCTAGAGGGCTTGGAGGGGGCTGTCGGGAGGAAGAGTCGAGAAGGAGAAGAAGATGAGGAAGAGCAAAACACGTGGCTAAGGAGAGAAATATCAGCCTTGATCCTTATCCTAATTTCATTTCTTTTTAGTCCCTCAACTTTTTAAAATTTTACGATTAAGCGCCAAAATAAAAATTTCCCTCAAATAAGTCCCCTAACTTACACTTTAATACTCCAAAAATTTTGGGGTATTACAATGTTAGTGCTACTTTGAATGTTTCTGATCTTTCTCCTTTTGATATAGGTGACGATTTGAGGACAAATCCTTTTGAGGAGAGAGGGAATGATGGGAATCAAGATGACCCCAAATGTAATACGTCAAGAGATCCATTACACATTCTAGGAGGTCCAGTCACGAAAGCTAGAGCTAGGAAGATGCAAGAAGCTTTAAATGGCCTTATTGAGCATATCTGGGTTGATAACAACATGCAAGAAGTAAATTGAAGCTTAGATGATTATCAAGGCATGATAAACATCATTCAGGTTCAAGAGAAGCTTAATTGAGGTCATTTGCTAAACTACACAGTTTGCGACAATCTCGCAACTCTGTCGCAATTTGTAACAAACTGATATTTCATGTTACTTTAGGTTACTTTTAGTGATTTTCACCTTTTTTATATTATTTTGGGCTGAACATTCATTTATTTAAGGCCCAATTCATGGTTATTATGATTAGGGCTTAGGGTGTTAGTTTCCTATTCTTATTAGAATTAGTTTTCCCTATTTAAAGGGGCTTGTAACCCTAATTGGGAGGCTATTGAATTTGAGATTTTGAGAGACTTTTCTCTTTGGTTCATTTCAGAACTTTATAGAACTTATCAAGATTATTCTTGTGGCGTTCTAACCTGACTTATCATTCTCGTTTTTAATCGTTCAAGGGTGTGGCGTCAACCAACTATATACCTCTGGTTCTTGTTGCGCCATAGACAACGGGTCAAGGTTTTTACCTTTGGTTCTTGTTGCGACATAAACAACGGGTCAAGGTCCTATTATAAATTTGATTTAGCTTTCCTGGAGTTTAGAAATCCCTTGTCGTGCTGTGGGTTTCATTGTTCTCTTTGGGGTTCTCATCATTTCTTCTCCATGTTCTCTTTAGGCACAAGTAGCACTGGAACTGCACATGGACTCATGCTTTCCCTCACATGTCCCTTTTTCATGAGTTCTTCGACCTGCCTTTGAAGTTCTTTCGTCTCATTGGGATTGCTTCGATATGCTGGTCGGTTTGGAATTGTTGC